GGGACAAGCTCAGCAACAACTCTCTCACGTCTACGTCCTAATCCGCGTCCCTCCCGTCTATTACGAGGAACATCCACGATCAAGTGAGGATCAGGCTGTGTCTGCACGGGGGGTGCTCAGGTCCAGGCTCATCAACTCGTGAACTCTCACGAAACATTCCAATAATCCGGCCAATCTCCTCGTGGATATACTCTAGACCAACTCGAGGAAACTCCTCCGCTGTTGTTGCATAATAAAGCATTTCAAGACCGTCAATCTGTATATTACGAAAACATGTTAGAAATTTGAAACAAATGTAAAATATGTACAAATGATAGAATTTATCATAAACTCACCATGCGGCCTATCTTTGGTGCCCTCCGAGATATGTAGCGCTTTCCCCTCTCTCTGTACCACTCCATGTACGCATGATTAGGTGACATCAAACCATATAATGGAGGTGACAGTACAATATGCTGAACCCTGGTATTCCATCGATCAATGTGAGCCCTCAGCTTACGTCTCCAGTTCTCTTCAACCTTCCCCCGTAGAGTATGATCATGAATCCCTCTCAACTTTCTAGATTTATCCAGGATGGGTTGATCAAGGCCGAACTGTCGCACGCATCTATCCGGTTGACATGCCTCTACTGTGTGGAAGTGGATAATAGGTGTGGCAGCAAGCCACATGTACTACTGCACTAGAGTCACGTCAAGCCACTCATATTCGATATATGGCTGCCACACCACCTACAAACAAAATGTTAAACAATATATAGAGTTACAAAAAAAAATTAAACCCATAGAGAAATAACAACATCGTAAGTATCCAACACCTAACCTCATCTCTACACAGTGTGTCCAATGTTGCCCGATAATGGGTGACCTCATGAGGTTTAAACTTTTCTACAGTATTAAACCTGTCATCAGAAACATTGATTATCAATCATAATCAAGAAGTATACAGTTAGTATATACATTATCAACCATACATTATCGAAATCAAATGAAGTAAATAAATCATACCGGGATCCATAATGTGTGCCCGACTTTGGATGAGGAGGAAGGGGTGGAGCAATGGGTGGGAATCGTATCTATGCCCAAATTTGAAGGAGAATATGGCAATCACCCATGTCAGTTCGACGGACATCTGTCAATTCACACAAATTCCTGAACAAGTGTGTCAAAACCGCAGATCCCCAGCTGAATCAGCCAATGTCCTCAAATCCTCCACCTAGCAACGGGACAAGCCGGCAACCAAAATTGCTACCTCCAGACTTGTCCGCCAGCAACCAAGTCCCCAACATCCTGGCAATGTGGGCTTTTGTGAAGTAGATCTCGGCACCGTGATTCCCTTCATGATCAGTCCACCGGGTATAATGCCGATCCAAGAATGAGATGCGGAGGTCGCCGGAATGATGGAACTCACCGGCCTCTGGAACATGTCCAAAAACAGCAGCACAAGCAGCGTGCCAATCCTCGGAGGTCGATCTGGTGACGACAGTGCCGTCAGTGGGCAAGCCCAATATGCCTGCCACATCTTGTAAGGTGATCGTCATCTCACCTTGGGTCATGTGAAAGGTATGTGTCTCTGGTCTCCACCTCTCGACCAGAGCACTAATTAAAAATGTATCGATCTGTGATAAATTACACAGTTATCACCTGTTAACGAATTTTATTGAATAATTACATAAATACAAAACGACGTAAATAACATACCTGGATATGTTGCATCCTGGCAACATGTATGAAACCCGCCTGTCTGAGGTACTCTTCGACAACCTGTGGAATAGCACCGGTAGGTGGCCCCCCTTGTGGCTTCCCACGCCTGGTCTTAATTTTCCTTACATGCTCTGTATTCCACACTCGTTGTGAAATATGAGCTTTCTGCGTCCTCTTACGAAGGACCTCCCATCTATACGGCCCAGGTATGATCCACATGCTGGGATCAGTGGGCTCTACATCCGATGCAAAATCGGGTGAAGATGATGACTCAACCATTATCCTCAACTATATAATATAAAACAACATTTAAATTAATCACATGTAATGCCCCATTTTATTTACAATTTAATTAAGCAGTGACATAATTGATTATCACAAAAATTAAGCATATGCGTCATTTATTTAACTAGAATCGAAATTTATGAAGTCCCGCCAAAACGTAGAACAGTTATTTATTTGCAATTAAATAATAATAATACATTGGACAAAAATAATGTAATACTAACTAAATACTTAACCCTAGGTCACTACCAACTTGTCCAATACGTACTAATCATCACACCTAACTAACTACAAAGTTATGCACTCCCGCATTAATAACATCATACATACGAAATTTACGAAGTCCCTAACTATTTATAAATCACTAATTAATATGCTAAACCCTAATGCATAATTAAAAATTAATAATAATAACTACGTAATAATAAAATTACTATATCATTACAACATTCATAGCATGCCACAAAATTTCTAAGTGACTATCCTAATGTTCCAAGTCTCTAATATACAATCAATCCTAACATGTATTACTAACTAGCACTGTAATTTAAATGTATACATATGAGGTATTATGACCTTACCTACGTTGGCAGAGCTTCGCTACGAACCGCGGTTAGAGGGAGGTTAGAAAGATGAATGAGTAAGGAGTGAAAAAAGGAAAGTGGGGTATATATAGGTTGCACATGAGACGCCCCAATGGGGCGTCTTCCCCAAGGGAGAGACGCCTCACTGGGGCGTCACATGTGACACCCAAAGGGGCGTCTCATTGTGCAACAGATATGTAATTTTTTACAAAACAGCATTAACTGTGTAATTATTTAATTTAAATACATTATTTTATTTTATTTTGCCTAAACATAACCCATATATATATATATATATATATATATATATATATAATTATTTTGCCATTAAGTATATAGTTGCATATATAGTATACTAAAGAATTAACATGAAATATATATATATATATTTTATAATCATATCAAGTTCTTATGATGATATGGAACCAGTTACATTTTTTTTCCCGTATATTCTTCACAAAGTTTCTTTATGTCTCTCTTCTATCCATGTTACTTTAAGTACAAAAAAGGTCCACGCTTTTTCCGAAAGTTATCACATATTCTATGTTTTTCACTTTCACTTGAATGTCTCAGCTGTCCATTACTTTACAAGTTACAAATTACTATCTTCTTATCTTAATATATAAAATATTAAAATCAGCTGCAGGTGTAATCACTCATTCGAATCAACTTCTTCTAGCTGGTTCACGTGGGGGTTTGTACAAGAAAGTGCTCAATTTATGGGAAGCGCAGATACATTATGTGAACTATAATATAGAGAATAGTTTTCTTAAAATCCATTCCTCGAAAAAGTTTTTTTTTTTTTTTTTTCGAAATCACAAAGCATAAATTATAAAACCAAAAACGTCAAAAGGGTAACAACCGGCTGTGGTTTAAATATTCATAGAAAAACAAAATTAGGTCAAAAAACTGGCTTAAAGATTCCTCACTCAGCTTTTGTTTATTGTGGAAGCATTTTTCTTGTTTGTTAAGTGTGGAAGCATTTTCAAGTCAAACTTGAAAGCTTATTATCTTCGTTCATCCTTACCGAATACTCCTTGGTTTTGTCCAATGTTGTCTGTATCTAGCCGTATGGTCATCCTATTTCCTATCCTACCATTGCTAGCCTAGTAAGTGCTTGAGAGTGAAACATCAGAGCTACTATTAGTGGAAAATGTGACAACTAATATATATATATGATACGAAACATTTTTTTGTTTTCATTAGAAAATCATCATTTTTGTAAAAATGCAGTCTCATGCCAGAGTGAATTTCAAAGCATACGAGGAGGTATTAATTGACACGTACCTTCACCCAATAAGGTATGCTTCAGTGATTTAATTACTGAGTTACGCTATTTACTATATCAATATTCTGAATTAATTTTTAAGATAATTAGACATTTCTAAAAACTATAAAGTATATCATATATAATGCAAAAATGATTTAATGTGAAATATTGGGGGCATGAGTCTATATGATAGAAATCAAGTTTAATTTCAACGATTCAATTTGTGAGAAATATTCCAAAAAAAAAATAAAAATAAAAAAATTATGTAATGGCATGAGGTTTTTCTTTTTTTTGGTAGATGGTATCGCTACACATTCTCCTCTAAATACCTTGTTCTCGGAATATGGCCCTATGTTTAGTTCCTTATTGAAACAGAGAGTGCATTAGACCACTGTCATATAGGAAGGATGAGACTAATCTCCCTTCAAGAAAGAAGATACTTTATCTGAGCCCCAAAGAATCCCAAAAGTTTATTTGGACAATGTTTTAATTTGCATATTGATTGACTTAACTTTTGGTCTTCCAAAAATAAAATGGCTTTAGATTTGTTTGAAAGTGCTAATTGACGAGTGAAAATGAAAATTGCACGAATAAAGAAGATGTACGACATGCAATGGCTTTAGATTTGTTTCTTAGAATATAATTTAGCTCTCATCTTCCCTTAATTTTTCCGTACAATTTAGGTAAAGTTGTGACCACAATTAACACCAGAAATCGTTGGCAACGTGGAAGCTGACAATAACTTTAAATTCCAAAAGTAGGGAAAGAAAAAAAGAGAGCAAAAGAGAAATTCGAACTACCCCTAAATGGCTAAATCAACTATTATTTGATAAAAAAAGAGCATACATAGTGGTTCAATGATTGAGCAACTGCGAGTTATTTTGGCGGAGACACGTTAAGCGCCAGTGATTTTATACATAGTCTATTTGCTCTTTCATTTCATGATGTGGTGGTAAATTGCAGGAAGCCTCACAATGCAAAAATTGTAGTGGCACTTCACTTTTTTTTTGCTCTTTTAATTTAAGACATTCATGGGATTAGATGGACAAAATTGTAGGGAGTTAAAAGATGCTGAATTATGTATGACACAAGTTGAATAGAACATCAATAATAAGTTAGAATACTTTACATGACAAATATCTATCAATCTGAAATACTTCCTCTTTGTGGAGACAAAGAAAGTGATAGTGGGAACCTCATTTCTCTTTTGAGGCTCGAGGACAATACTCCCAAAAGAAGTTTTGTTTTGGAATTCATATGCCACTAAGTCACTAACCCATCCCTCTTCAGTTCACTTCTCTTTGACTTTCTTCTTTCTTTCACTTATTTAAGTCAAAGTAAGATTTTCTGGCACTTTGCTACAATACCAAACGAATGGACATTATGCACACACACACAAAGAAAAAAAGGGGCTACGCTATATTGAACTAGAAGCTATGCATATCTATAATAATTCTTGCCCGCCGCCATGTTTACACGAACAAAGCCGTTTTGCTGTAACTTCAAATATTTAAAATTGCACAGCTTGGAGCATTGAACCTTCACAGTTACTGTTTCCTAGTCTTTGGAAAACCATTGTTAATTCAGTCCCCTAAGTTTAGACGTGTGGCATACTATATTGGACAATTTAAGGTTGTAGGATACTAGTGCTTTTTATCACAAAAAACGCACTATGCTTTCTGACTAAATCTACAAATAAATAAATAAACGAAATGAACAAGCAGTTGGTTTACAGTTCCATAGGATCTGAATGATCTCAAGCGACTTATTAGGCCCTGTTAATTGTACATAAAGTATGAACTTAAGAAGCAGCAAAATATGCTCAGTTTTGTTCCTCTCTGCAGCATAAGCACAGCGTATAGAATCCAAATCAATATCCATGATGGATACTTCCTTAATAGGAGGAACTAGTGTTGCATTCCAAATGACAAATTAAGGAGCTTCTACCTCCAATTGATAATAAGGAGACTCGGACAAATTCTGATTTGTCCCATCAAAACTGCAGACTTGTATGATAAATTTGAGACTAGAAGTGCTAGGAGGAACTTCGAGGTCAGAAACATAAAAGCAGTTTACTTGTGCAACTCCAAGGTACTCCTGCACATGTTCTAATGTTGTGCTTGGATTAATATCTGCTTGTTTTGATAGTTTCACCACATACACGTTATAGTGTGGAAATGCAAAATTCTTTCCTTCTTTCAGTTTCCAAGAAATTTTAACATCAAGGATCTTTGAATCCTGAGGACCTGATTTCCAATTGATGTAGTCACCAGCAACTAACCAGGAAGTAGACACGGGAAAATCTGGCTTATAGTCAGAAGTCTTGATTGTTATATGGCCAAGAACCGCAAAATAACCTGTTGGAGAAGCCAAAGTACGATCACTGCCATATGGTCTGGCTTTCAGCCTCAGTTCATTGGAAGGAGCATCTGATCTATAGCACAAAGCATGGATTTCTGTCAAAATGTATCCATTCATTTCAATTGTGCCTTCGTGTATAACCCATCCAGGGGCATTTCCCTTGTGTTCGCTTGTTGGGACTACTTTGCTAAATCTGCTTGAGAGATGATTCATTCCCTGAGATGTGAGTAGTATAGACATTCTTTCATTGATAGTGGAAGTGAACTCGAGTACTAGTCCCAATGAAGAATTGCTATCAGATTTCACCTGCAATTGTCACGGATTTCAGGTGCGAACTAGATTAAGAAAGAGGGCTCTGATAAGAATATCAAGTTGTATATAATTTTCGTGAAATTGTCTGAATATGCATTATACCGTTGGTCAAGGAAAGATACCCCATTTCCCTTCTCTCAAGTAACTAGATACAGTTCCCTAAGAAAGATAAACTAAATTTTATTAAATTTCCAGTTAGACTGTTGTATTGACATCTATTTCAGGTTAGATGAGGATGCTGTTAATGGATAAAAAAGTATAAAACCATTCATGCCTTCACATAAAAACTTAAGCTTTTGAGATGGTATTAGAGCCTTCACAACCAAGAAGTCTAAAGTTTGATCTTGTCACCCCCGTTTCTCAAAAAAAAAAAAAGGTTGAATTTTTACACAAGGTAGGTGGGTCTATATATTGTTCATGCTTCAAGCCCAAATCTTGGATAAGAGGCATGTTAGAGATGGGCATGCAACCTCCTCAGCATACTTCAAACTTGAGGATAGATTGATGCGCAGGTTTTTCAGCAATTTTGATAGAGGTGATAGCTTACAGAATAATTGAAGTGGATAGGCAACTCGCTTAGAATAAAGTCTCCTTGAAAGATTCTCCTCTTGAAGTAAGTATCCCCTTCAAGAGAACCTTTGAATGTAATGTTTCCCCCTCCACTATATGATTCTTCTTTCAAGCTACATTTCATAAGCAAGACAACAAATACTTAAGACTTGTCAGAACTAGCTCTGAAATGTAGTAATTTAATACCTTGATTTAAAATAGAAGAATAGAAAAGAAAGGTGGCATTCAAAATCATGAAAGGTGGTAATATTACAAAAAAAACTAAATATATAATAATGCACACTATCAGGTCAGCCATCAAACTCTAATAAAGAAGTTCCAACGGATGGTCACCAGTGGCGAAGCCAGGAAAAAGATCCAGCCAATGTCAAAAGACCCAACTAGTAAAATCCAGCTAGTACCAATGTTGTATTATTTTTAAAACCTAACCAATACCAAAGCTATATCATAATATTAAAGAAAATATGTAGCATTTTTGAAAATTAGCTGGTGCCTTCGAGTGGCTCTGCCATTGATGGCCACAGAATTGAAGCAATATATAATAATTGATCATATTTCTATTCTCAGGTCACCAGGATAGGCCTTCCAAATTCAATAAAGAAAGACAGAACCTACAATGAATTTTCTGCAATGAATCTATATATCAGACTTACTCCACAAGAAGTTGAATAGAATTTGTTGTAGAATCAGCAAAGTCAAGGATTGGCTGCACACAAGTATACGACTATACGAGTTAGGATATAATTAAACTCTTAAAAACCAGTATCCCTAAGACAGTATAATCAATGAAGGCCTCATGATTAACAGACATGGCTATGATATATTGTATAGTTATGATTAAAGGAAAACAAGTTTGTCATTCAATCATCCATTGCACAAGAAAAGTAATATTGACAATGAAATTGGAGATTTGGGATAAATATGTGTTTCTCAAATAATCACAATATTTAACTTGTCATTCCAGATTTATTAAATGATGTTACTTAAAACCAGGCCCTTAATATCAGAAATGACAAAGAAGATTTCAAAAGACGGTGCATATAGATTCTTTTCTAGTTCCCTATCTATTAGGATTGTAAATAATTGAGCCAACAATAGAAAGAGTCTTTATCAGGTATGTCAGGCCCATGGGGAGCCCGTGGTAGGGAACCACCACCAATGAGTTAGGGCTACACCACCATATTAAGTGGATCCGATACCACATCTCAACCCAAAACTGATCCTCCCATTATCAACCAATATGAGACTCATTACATTGAATATCCGAACAGTCCTCCCCTCAAGTGTGAAACCTAACATTGATATGCTTCTCCTCAACCGAGTACCTAGGCTCAAAGTACTCCACCAGCGTAACATGATGTCGGACCCACTTGATATGGTTGCTCTAACTTAGTCCATTGGTGGTGGATCTGTCGTCATGGGCTCCCCATGGGCCCGCCTGACAAGGTGCATACCTGAATGCCTTGGGAAGAGATGTTGCACCAAGTAGCATCTGATACTTTGTCTCCGTCAACTGAAATATGATAACCGCGTCCCTGAAAGTAACAAAGAATGGCAACATTTGAAAGATCAGGATACACAAGTATCTGATCTAAAGTGCATTGCTTCTCCATTATGATCTAGTTACAAAAGTAGTATCAGCAAGCCATAAAAAAATGTGAAGCATCTCATATAGATTGTATTGAGTGAATTATTTATAAAGAATGTCTTGAAACAAAGGGGGCTAGGCCTAATATCTAACCACAGACAAACTGAGGGATAGATAATTAGATACCACTCTCAAGTCTCAAATGCTCTAAGTAAGATGTTCCCACAACGTTGGCTTATAAAAAATATGCAAACCCATATCAACCTCATGGACCAGTTGCATTGTTTCAGTTAAGAGTTTAACAAACCAGTAAGGCTGCCAAAGAGAATCATTTAGGAGGTAACAAATTATATATGATACACATTAAAATCCAGTAAATTTTTCAGTGCATTCAACTAAGCTAAAGGTGAATAATGGAAGTTCCTTCTTTTATGCCGTAAAATATTTCAAATACACCCACATTTGCCTCTTGGTATTCACATTTTATTCTATTTAATTAAATTAAATAGAAATCATGTCAAATTCAACGTAGACAAATTATCTTGGACCTTTAATTCATATCAGCAGGCTTCCAAATGCACCACACACACAAAAAATGTCAAGAAGAAAAGGGAAGAAACATTCTGAAAAGGTGACAATAATTAAATTTGTTAACCTGATCAAAATTTGTGTAGAATGGTAGTGCTCCAGGATACTTTCGCAGGATGCCCCATGATTTTTCCACAAGACCCCACCAACTGCAATCCAAATGTATGGCAATGATTATGGAATTAATTATATCAAGGTTTGATCTTCATCATTAATATTTATAAAAAATAAAAATTGACCATATAAAATTGGTATCCACTACTATAACATATTGAAAATTCAAGAAAATGTTTCAAATTTTGTGGCATGAGATTTGGAGGAAAGGGAAAATTTGTTATTTAATAACTTTAATCTGTTACTGTAAAACTGGTAGCTAAACATTACCGATTCTGAGCAGTCTCAAAATCTGGTGCTTGCTTAGACTCGTAGACCCAGCCGGGAGCAAATATTGCAGCAGAGACATCATCCTTTCTTATTGCATTAAGAGCAACGTTTGTCTGGCACATCCATAATATAGAGTCAAGAAAGCACTAGAAAAAACACATATCCCTACTGCACTTTACCAATCATAGACTAATACCTGTCCATTATTATTTGGCGTCTCATATATATATTTTAAATGAAATTCGCCATTGTACAAAACAGATTTGATTAACTTTTTGGTAAAAACAAAAGGGTATTAGCTACAAGTATCATGAGTCTTACAGAACAAATACTGCAATTTCACTCAGGACAATTAAATGTTTAATTCCAAATAAAGCTTGAAATTGAGATAATAAATACGTAACATGAAACTATCAAATAAGAAGTGTATATCACACAGACCACATACATTCCACTGTCCACCACCATATGTGTTCCTTCCAAATACATCAATCCCCATGTACACATCAAACTTTCGATCACCAGCAACAGCAGCAGATCGCGTTGGATAGTCTTCCTACATGGTATTTTTAATAATAAAATTAACTATAAGGAAAGTTACAATTGATCAAACAACAGTATCACAGGCGCATGCCAGGGCAACAAAAGCAATACCTCCCATGAATAATTTGTAAATATCCCATCACATATATCAAAGAAAGGTTTATTATGTTCATTTAGTTGATTTTGCCACCATAAATCACCTTGAATAGTGACACTGTCATACCTAAATGATCAAGAAAAGATACAAAAGTCAATTGCTGGGAGACCATCCATTGCAGTGAAAGAAGTACAAAAATTGTGTATCTTCTAATACTCACCATATCACTAACGATCCAGGCACTGAAGAATGCATTGTTAATGTCAAATGGTTGACAAACTCTTTCAAATTAGAAATCTGCCCCGGGTCCAATTTTACCTCCATATTCATCTGCAATTTAGTGCAACTATTTGAGTCTTGAAAAGAATACAAAAATGTCATGCTGTAAGGTAATAGAAGAAAAATTTAAGTTATTGCAAACTTTAGTTGCAGCAGAGACACTACTTATTTTTCCTAGTAGAACCTATTCATTTCTGTTTTCTGGCGGTATTTAGTTAGGTAAAACAAATCTTCATGCAGCTTCAGTATAAGAGCCCAATTTCATAGAACCTGAACTCGCCATTCTAGAAGAATAAATTTGGAACTACATAGATAAAATAAAATCGATATCATGAAAGTGAACGGAAATCTATTATCAACTTAGATATAATAAAAAAAACCACTCCCCAACTTAGATATATAATAAGGGCAATTCTTGCAAATAATTGCAAAAACACTGTTTTCCGGATTCGAACCCGTGACCTTTTAGTCACAAAAGAACAGTTTTATCACTGTTCCGGTTCGCCCTCTCTAAAAACTTAGATATAATATAAAGATTAATAGATATTTATATAAACTCTAATCGTAAGCACACAGAGATGACGAATTATTTACCAGCCACCCATCAAAGCCTAAATTGAAAGCAAGCTCTGCCAAATGTTCTGCATACATTTGTGTGGACTCCTTTGTTGAAAGCAGTTCATTACACATAGCCCTTCCCACATCCCCTTCTGTGATGAAAGTCCCCAGCACCTAAGAGATTAAGGGTACAATTACAAACAAGAAAGTTCAAGTTAAAAGTTTTTGCAGTTATTCAATTCGAAACTAGTTATAAGACGGGTGATTCAACGGAATTATCTGCTTATTCTGATTTAAAATTGAGCAATAAATAATGTTAGAAACATGTCCAAGAAACAACCTCCAAAAGCCCTGAAGTTGCCCACAAAACATTAGAAAAGAATCTTGGCTAGATTTGCCATCTAATCTCATATCAGTTAATCTAAACCAACTTTAGGAGCACCAAAAAACTAAGATTCATATGTCAAATTTTTAAAGCTGATATACAATATGGCCATAAAAACTAATATTCAACAACTCTTGGTCATGTAAAAAAGCCTAATGTTAAAGATTAAACCACAAACACACCAACCCCCCAAAAAATAAATAAATAGATAATTTCTACCTCAACTTCACCAATTTCAAGAACTAACATAAACCCATCACAATAAAATGAAAACGAGTGAAAAGCCAAAGCTAAAATTCAGTACAAGCAAGTACCTTAACGCCATGGCGATGAGCTGTATTAGTCCAACAAGGAGGAGGAAGAGTGATCAAGTTGTGAGAGAAGTAGACAAAAACATCTATCAAATGCCAATGCCATATGGCATATGCATCAGCGTTAGTGCCTCCCTGAACCCACTTATCATCTGAATACCCCCCAGCCATATCATGGCACACGAGTAATCTACCACGATTGGGCAAAGCAGAAGAGCCACTTTGAATATTGGAAACAGAAGCTTTGTTAAAAGGGTAGTGAAAGGACTCAAAATAAGAACGAGACTTCAGCTCCTTGAGGGTCTTGATTGGATAAGATATGGGCACGGAGGGTTTCTTAGGATCAAATTCAGACATGGAAATGGAGTGAGACATCTAGGCTTTGGAGAACGAAAACAAGTACGTTTTGCACAGTCCAAGAATTGGCGCGTTATATAATATATTATAGACTCAAAAGAAGACGAGGAACCAATAAACCGTAACAAGTTACTTACAGCGATGTACACAACACGACAAGACCAAGTCACCATTGGTATCACGTGGCATGCATGTGGACAAACCTTGACCTCTGTAGTCAATCTACAATAAGTCATGCTTACATAGAAATTTTTCCACTAATCGTTATGTATTCACAACAGCGCATGATCAAACGTCAAACAATTTTGGAAACGAGATATCAATTTATTTATTTTTTAAATTCTTTTTAATTGCTAAACAAAAAGGACATGTCACTTTTTAAAATAATTTACAATCAAATTCTTTTTGTATAATTTTATCAAATAAAAGGCGATTTTTTTTTTTTTAAATTACTCAAAACCTAACCTATTACTATGACGCACCTCATTTATTCACCAGTTTGGATGCATTTTTAAAAAAGGATTTTTATGCTTTATTTTTTTTAGAATGATTTTTTTTTTAAAATTTAAAAGTTAATAAGCACTTTTAATATATAAAACTAATGGATATGTGATGGTGGTAGTGGGGTGGAGTGGGGTTGAGATAAAATTAGATTTAAAAAAAAAATATTTAACTTTTAACTTCTATTTTTTTTAGAAACAAGGAATTGTGACTTTATATAAAAAATTACTATTTTAATTTTTTTTTTAAATTGTTATCCAAACACATAAAATTCTTTAAAAAGATTTTTTTTTTTTTTTTGAAAAAAAAAAGTAACTTCACCAGATTTTCATATCTTTTGGTGGGAAATTTCATCCAAAACAGAGTACCATCAATCATCAATGACTTTACCATTACTGAAGTGCGAGAGTGTGTATATAACTTGGAAGTTTGACCAGTGACAGACTATAGAGTAAGGAATTATGACAAAATTTTAAGAATTTAATTTGGTTTAAGTAAGATTTTATATATTTAAATTTTGCTTCTTATATTTTTTTATATTAACATATTTATTTTTATTCATTTGATTTTTTATTTATATCGTTTAAGTATATTTTTTTTATATTTTTTACTTTTTTAAACTTTAGTTATATAATTTCTATTCATTAAGTCATTGATTAGTAATTGAGAAATATTGGCAGCACTTGTTGTTTTGGTAGGAAGCAGCACTTTTTTTTAATCCTTTGTTATTAGTAATTAAAATTTCATTAGTCTTATTAATATGAAAAAAAGTCTAACTATTTAGTGAGACTAGCTAATATAAATATTTATCAAATAATAAAAAATACTTAAAAAAATATTACTATTATTTTTCGTTAAAAATATTACTTATAATTTTAATTTATTTTAAGATTATTTTTGTCTTTATAATTAGAATCTTTTTAATTTTTCAATTCCAAAACAATGTCATTTTGAGAGTAAATATAAATAATTTATCTATATTGTAGAAATATTTTCTGAAATAAATAATGGGTTATAATTTGTTCATGTTACAGTGGATCTGTCGGAAATGTGTGGTTGTATTTTTATTTTTATTTTTAAGAAAAACCGGCGACATTATATCATCATTTTCCTAAAACATTATTCTTATGAATCCCGTAAATAATTGAGACATTGGAAAAATTCATTCCCATTTTTTCCGACTTTAATGTTATGTCGAGTCCAGACTTTTCAAATGACAATTAATGCGGGTTACCAACTCCTACTTTCCAAGAAATTTCATGGGACCGAAAAGGAAAGATGCGTGCTAGGGCCCATGGTTTATTGACTCATATCAATCGAATTGCATTGACTCATATTTATAAGAAAAATGTTTGTAATTTTAAGAAGGAGAGACAGATATAAAACAAATTTTTTATTTAAAATTTAAATTAAAAAAAAATCCACTCACTCTCTCCTCCCTTATTTTTATTTTTTGTGTCTATCTTTCTTCTAAAATTACATAGTTTATATTATTTAAAATGTCAAAGATCAAACTCATCAAAATATGTTTACGAAATTATAATAATCAGACATTTTTTGAAAATAATTGTCGTAGTATGGAAAACGGAAGTAATTTGCTATATATGGTGTCATGCCTACGGTTAGGGGTGTTAACGGGTCGGGCCGAGCCGAGTTTTGGTCTTAAAAGGCTATGTCTGTTTTTAAATGTGTCAGTCTGACCAAGTTTGTTACCTGTTATAAATATAACTATCGGCCTCTGGCCTGACTTATTTACAAAAAATAAAAGTCTTGTTTAGCCTGTTAAAAAAATAAGACAACAAAAATTTATCCAAACAGAATATACAATCAACAACCCTAGTAATTCCATAAATATTCATAAATTCAATTTATATCCAAACAACATAATATACAACAAAATCATTCAAAATGTCTATTTAACCAATAAAATAGAGAGAAATGGATTGAGAAGAAAGAGATAGCTATTACAAGTAGTATACAAAATAAAAAATATAAATAAAAATTAATATACTAGGTCAGCCTGGGAGGCTTTAAGGCCGAGCTTTTAAATTGGAGTCTGAGACCTTTTTATTGAACGAGCTTTTATAAAAGTCCAAGCTTGTGCCAACAACCAATTTTAGACATGTAAGCTCAGACTTTCACGAGTCGAGCCAAAGGCCCCTCAAAGGCTCCTGATTTGTTTAGCACCCCTACCTATGGTACTTGACTTATATAAATTTTGATTTGCATTAGTCGTATTTTTAGGTAAAATATGTTTAAAAAATTAGAGTAAATATCCTTTTTAGTCCTCAGCAAATTTCACGATTCCCCTTTTAGTCCCTAGAAAATAAAAAGGCCTATCGTGGTCCCTAAGAAATTCAAAATGAACTCATTTAGTTGAAATTGTGGTCCCTCACAAATTCAAAAAAGACCCATATTAGTCCTCAAAAGGACTAAAATGGGTCCATTTTGAATTTTTTAGGGACTGGATCTTTTTATTTGATAGGGACTAAAACGGACCTCGTGAAATTTGCTGAGGACCAAAAATGGTATTTACTCAAAAAAATTATAATAATTAGACGATTTTCAATAAAAAATAATAATTGTCATATTATGGAAAATGAAACTGTTGTACTATCATACTATGTACGGTGTCTTGCCCATGGTACATTGACTAGTATCAATTTATTTGCATTGACTCATAGTTATTAATAAAAATATGTATAGAAAATTATATTAATCAGACAATTTAAAATATATATATATATATATATATTTAAAATAAGCTTAAAATTTTTATTTAAATTCATTCTTATATTAAGGAGTTCGAAAATTAAATTTAATTAATCATGAGAAAAAATTAATTTAATAAATATTTTATATTTAAAATCTGGTTTGTTTTATTTGATATATAAATGTGATCTATTTTAATCTAAATTAGCTTAGATTAAATAATTTTTATCATTTATCATTTTTTTTAATATATAAATCCATTAAAATATAAGAATATAATTTCATTTAAGTATCGAAATACATTAAATATAAGTTCAAACAAAATATAAAGTGAACCTGCCAACGAAATATTAGTGGATTTCGTCTACGAGGTCCACTAAGTCATGGGCCTGCATTCTACAAGCTCTTTAGCTTGTATTGGACCGATAGAAGACATTGTCCAAGTTCATGTGCCACAAGAGCTAGCTAGAGTCAATAAGTGTCCAGCCTAGTTTAACTGAATATGCACGAGGGATTTAAAGCCTTAATCCTGGACTCGCTCTGAATTGGATTAGTTGCGAAGCAATAAATCAATTAAAATATTTTTAAAAAAATAATAAAATAAAGGAGTGGATCAACTGGGCTGTGGGCTTGTGTCACTAATAACTAAAATGATATATTACTTAAAATAATAATTAAAATAATATTTTATTATTTAAAATTATTAAAATAATAATTGTAGTTAAAATAGATAATATTAGGCCGGTCTGTAAGCTTATAAGCCTGATATGTACAAAAACAACATACGACCAACTTTTTAAATAGATTCTTTTTAAACACCTAAGTATGTTTATTTGACTATTTGTAATAGACTAAGTCTATTATAATATAAGCTATGTCATAGCCTTCTTAGGTCGACCTAGTCTATTTACCCCTCTAAATGAGACTAATCTCTTATCGAGAAGAAAAAAATTCTTATGGTTCTTAAATTTTTTTTAAGAATTTGTTTGAAGTAGAATTTGAATCCAAGACAACAAATAAATCCTTACGAGCTCAACCGATAATATTTTTTGTTTTTAAAATAATCAGTTTATAACGTGAGATTAAAATGAACGTTCAAGTCCAAAGAAGTGAAAGAACTATTCTTCGAGGACATTCAAAAGAATTTTATTATATGGGTTTTATAATTATGAAGTTACATAAGAATTAAAATTTTATATTGTAGAAACAAAAAATATGTGAGACTAATAGGTTACAAAAAATTACGTGTAGAATGAATCATCAGTACGAAAGTCAAAGAATGTGTAGAAAGATTTCAATATCAAAAATTATATAGAAAGATTTCAATTCTTATGTAAAATGAAAATTATAAAACTTTTATTATATACCGACTGATAAAATCAGAGTCACAGTTCAAAAAGACTTTGGAAATCGAGCCCAACTTCTTAAATATAGTACCGTTTAAAAATATACATATAATATAATCCTACCGAATATATATACATATAAGAAGCGCCTGTGATATTGTAGAACCCCAACGAACAGAGTACGGAGAATAATATATCCGATGATGTGTGCGCTCAAAGTCAAAGGTAGACCACGTAATATATATAATATATATATATATATATATATATATATATATATATATGGCAAAAATATGTGTCATTTTAAACGACACGTCATGTATCTTTTTACTCTCACAAAAATAGTGAGACCACCACACCAAAAAAAAATAAAAAAAAATGAGACCCATATCTTTAAAAAAAATTCATCCATTATCTCTTTCATGATTTATCTTTTTCTCTTGCTTAAAATGATATAACTTTGTGTCCTTTAAAATGATACACACTTTATATATATATATATATATATATATATATATATATATGTAGGGCTTATCATTTCTCAAGCTGCTTGAGATAATCTTATCTCCGACTAGTAAATCATAACCGTACAAAGATGGATCAATGGAGATAAAAGAAGAGAGAGAAAAAGAGAATCATAACCATTCAAAAATAAATCAATTAATATAAGAAAATAAATAAATAAAATGACGTAGTTTTGGAATAGCTGGAGATAAACTTATCTCAAACTGTTTGATAAATGTTTTTCATATATATATATATATATACCAATCATAATTTATTATTATGTCAAATTAAAGTTATTATATTCTTTCTTATTGATTGCTACAAAAACACTCATTGAATGCCTATAACTTGCAAAAGAATAATGGATTAGGAAGAATTGGTTGTAAATTACTACGGGTAAAATGGGCTCGGTTTGGTGAGTAAATTCGCTTCTTCAATTAAATGAGGTGAGGTGGACTGACTCTTTTTTTAGCGGGTTAATGATTTGGCCGGGTGGAGGTGTAAAATAAATTTAGATTGTCAGAGAGATTTTTAATCTATTTTCAAAAGCAAAATAGGCGACTCATCTTTTGACGAATTGAAGGCGGAGCGGTCGGAACTAACAACCCAATTTGCCACCTCTTTGTAACTTAGTGTAGTTACTTTATTTGTTTTTAGTTGATCCATCGTTGTAAACATTTTCTGAATGTCCTACAAAGCAACACCTGCAGAGTCCGAAATTTCTTTGTTTTGGTGAGAATCAAAGTAACGAAGCAGGTAAGTTCCAAATGATAGCTAAATGTCACCTAATACCTAATCTCCCTTCACCTAATGTTCAAAACAAAGTTAATAAAAAAATGGCCATACTTGTTGATACCTCTTTGTTTATTCGGTAGAATCATTTATATGAAAAAGGGGAAGACAAGTGATTATGATTAGCAATCTTGCACGCACCCTTAGCTTTGAAGCCAAGCAACATTTATAACCTCCAAAGGTAATGCTCTTCTTGCAGTACCACTCCATCTGGATTCCACAACCCACCGTACTAATTCAGCTATAGTTCGTAGCGGTTGTAATTATCTCTCTTACTTTTTTTTTTTCTTGTTAATGCTACGCGCATGCTAATATAATCAACATGGCAGATAGAGTTGATTATATATCGTGTATATTATCACGTTCCTGCATAAAATGTCTCAAGGTATTAAAATCACCCAAAATAGAGTTCCCAAAAGATCTCTTGTTTTTTTTATAATTAATAAATTTTTATGGATACAAAAATATTACATTACTTTTTTATTTATTTTGTTTCGTATTTAAAAATTTTGGGGATGAGATTCTGGAATTTTTATAAACATAAAATATTAAAACAAGAAATGGAATGAAAATAAGATGTTGTTTTAATAATTACGTCAGCATATATACAAATTAAAAATGAAAAAAAAAAACCTTACTTATGCTATCCTGTCACTTCGGGGGCTTCTATATACAAAAAATATTAAAATAAAAGGTAAGTTGTATTTATAAATTTTTTGTTTATAAACTATAATATGTTTTTTGGGAAGTACATTCTCAAGTGAGTGTACTTCTCGAAATATATAATATAATTTATAAGATTTTCTAAACAAATTTTTTGTAAATATAATTTTTTTCAAAATAAATGCATAGAAATTTTATGCTGTATATGCACTTGCCTATACACAAGGAACTCAATTTGAAAATGACGGTGCATGGAGAGAAAGGAAACTTATTTTATATTTAAAATAACTTATAATTAAATATTCATTAAAAGAGATGAAAATTAATTTGTTTAGAAATTAATTAATATCAAACATGTTATACATCAACTCACTTGAATTTCATGTTTGTCGAAAGAACTTGGAGAAATAAGAGAGAAATAAAGTCGAAAATGTGTAAGTTAAGTTAAAAAAATGGAAGTAATTAACTCGTTAATTAATATGTAAAATATAGGATTAAGTTTCCTTTGACCAAAGCAATGGTGGACACGTATTTAATTTTCATAGTTACAATAAAAAAACATAATAAAATAATGTTTAAAGTGGCAATGTATATTAACAGATAGTAAGTGGTAGAATAATTTCTTTTTCCTTTTTTTTTTTCTCTCTCCCTTTCCTATGCTTTGAGAGCAGAATGGTTTGCTATATTAATGAAAAAAATAGTTAGTGGCAGCTAGAGGTGAAATAATAGTAGGTTTGGCGAATGCATGCAAATGAAGTCACCATTATCTCCCTCTTCCTCCCTTCTGAAAAACAAACCTCGACTCTCTCCCTACCTCTTCACACTCCTAGCTTTCATCCTCTTTGTCACAATCCTCTATGGCGAGGACTTCATGTGCATCTTCAACCAACAGCTCCAAAACTACAACTACCCTGACACACTTTCCTCCTCCCAAACCGGTGAGTTCACTCACATTCACAATATTCAATCCACCGTTTTTTGTTTTTTATGTTTATTTGGGACTGTCATGTCATGTCATGTTGCATACGTGCTCAGCTGAATATTGGGTTTTGTTATGTTTGGTGGCCTGAATTTTGAAAACAGAGAGGTTGAAGCGGCAGAAGCTGCCGTTTGCGGTGGGGAAAGCGGCGGAAGGGTGTGACGTGTTCAGTGGGAGGTGGGTTCGGGACGAGTTGACTCGGCCTCTGTACGAGGAATCGGACTGTCCGTACATACAGCCGCAATTGACTTGTCAAGAACACGGGCGACCCGATAAGGAGTATCAGAAATGGAGGTGGCAACCACACGCTTGTGATCTTCCCAAGTAAATCTTTCAGTTTTCTTTCTTCCACTTTCTTTTCTTTTTTTCCGGGTCAAGTATTATGTGGGTCGGGTCAGTATGTTGGATGGGTTTCCGCCACGCACGGTGGTACATGTAGCCTGGAGTAGAGGTGGCAATATGGTATGCGTTAAGATCGTCGGGTCAATTTGTCAACCTGATAAAAAGGGAGGGACAAGTTGGATTAAGGTTTTTAATCAGCCAACCAACTCCAATTTGTTCCGCCCAAGAAAGAGTCAAAACGAATTCAATCTGTTGGGTGATATATATTTTTTTTTAAATTGTATTTTATTTATTATTAAACTTCTGTGATATCTAATTTTTTTCTTAATATTTTCTAAAAAAAATAAAGAATACAAATTTTACTTATGACAAATGTTATTTACACGTGGAGACAAATCAATTCTTAAAAAATATTTAATTGAATATTAGTATAAATTTAAGATTAATATTGAAAAAGATTAAGAAGAGTATGAAAAAATTAAATAATATTATAAAATTTATAAAATTAATTTAATATTTCATTTTAATTATTACTTTTAATTTGAGTGTTGATCCATTAATCCACCATAAAATAAGATGGCTTCATTTTTTAACCCATATTCAATGGCGGGCATATTTATTCTGCTCCAATTTTGGCGGTCGAAGGGATGTATCCATATTGCCACCTCTAACATCCTGAAAGACACATACAGGATGGTGAAAATGATAGTTTCGTAAGATATTCAATGCTTGAATTGGCGGCTATTATTATTATTATTATTGTAAGATAGGGAAAAATATTTTTTCCTTTGAAAGGAGAGTATTTTAGTCAAAATAAATATTTTTTATTTAAAATTTAAATTAAAAAAAATTTCCAACTTTTTTCTATCATAATTTCTGTTATTATTATCATAAAACACAATAATTTTGACTAACAAACACTGATCCTGTAAGAGAAGATGCTATGATAGTATGATGGTATAGTTTAATATTGTGTGCCTTGCGTGTTTTAGTTTTAGGGTAAATTGTGTGTCATTTTAAAGGATGTAAAGTTATGTTATTTTAAGAGAGAGAAAGAGATAGATAAAGGGAGAGAGAGAGTTGACAAAAAAAATAAAGGTGTGGGTCCCATTTATGAGAGTGAGAAGATATAAGTTGTGTCATTTAAAAGGATAATCACTTTTCCCTTAGTTTTAATATGCAAAACGCGACCTTGAATGTTGTACGTATCGAAACCAAGGTCCGTAGCTTAAACCGAACATCGAATGGAGGTACCCACTACCCACGCCTTTGTAGGACAATTTCTCTTTGTTTACCTTCTCTGCTTTTTCGAACCATTCTCTCTGGGGACGACCCTCCTACTCACTGAGTCTCGAACCGGTGTCAGACTCAGCGGAAATGAGACTGTTGAGGTTCGCATTAATTAACGATGATTAATCGTTTGGTGCTCTATCTTTGAATGTTTTTTTTTAATATTATTTAATCATAATTATCATATATTAATTTTATATTTTTTACGCCTCCGTTACTTTTTGGGAGGCCTACGCCCCATAAAAACTGTCTACCTGAGACTGTCCCTTGGCCCGTAGGTCCTGGCACAAGGTTAGAATTCTAGCTCTTGTTTACCAAGGGTTCGAATCCCTCTCTTTCCGCACCTTTATCAAATTCATCGATGTTACTGACCGCAATGTTTCAAGTAACAACGGATACTGCTATTCAAACTTTCTTTAATGTGGAAGAAAGGGTAGGCAAGGAACGAAAATATTCCTATATCCATGTCTATGATATAGGAATGGTATAAAGTTCTCGTATAAAAACCCTATTCTTTTAGTTAGGTTAGGCCATGAACTAGATCAAAATCATTCTCAACGAGCCCATAAGAAATGATCCCATTTTTTTCATCAGGTCGGGGTAGAGACCAAAGGTCTTGAGCGACCGATCCGGCATTCATAAATAAAAAAAATAAAATTGTACAACAATGTTGTTTTTATAAATAATATTATTTTTTCTTTATAAAGAAATATTATTTTTTCGTATTTATATTCTTTTGTTAAAATAATAGGTTAATACGATTAAAAAATATTAACTTGGGCACATATTAAAGAAATTTAAAATGAAAATACATTAATGATATTTTAACGAAATATGTTCATAAAATTAATATGTTAACGACATATGAAAATGTTTATTGTTATTATTATTATTATTATTATTATTATTATAATTATAATTATTATTATTATTAGAGGATGTCCTGTTCGACAAAGAAAAACATAATAATGTTCCTTGTAATTAATAAATCTCATAACCAATTATATATGCTTGGACCGTTTTATACAAAAATTAGCAGATGGAAAGGAGAAGATATATCATATTCCTTTTTTAATACTGATTATTTGATTAGTCTCGTACAAAATGATATATATATATATTTTTTTTGATAACATACAAAATGATATTTTTATGAGTAATATCATATCCCCTAGATAAATTTTCTTAATTACTTAAAATAGTAATTATTAAATGAAAAGTATAAATATTTAATGTCTTATTAACGTAAAAAGTATTTAATATTTTTTCTTTTAGTTAATAATAATTAAAATAATTATTAATGGGATATAATGAGAATGTAGAATTATTTAATATTAAAATTGAACTAATCAGTGTATAGAAAATTAGAAATTATTGTTAGGGTAAACTTTTATAGAAGCATTGTAACAATATCTTGTATTAATTGGTTTCTCTTTGAAAATTTTGCGATGATTTTGACTTTTGAGTAATTTTGTAATTAACTATTTCTAATTTCAGCGCAATTATTACGGAAGTCATTGACTTTTTACTGGAATGTCTATTATCCTGTAGCTGAAATTGTTAATTGGATAAAAAAAATTCTACCTATCGAGAATTCCGTGCATGACTTACTAAACTTAGAAAAAAAACACAGAAGTAAGTCCTTGACAGTGAGTTTTAATTAATAAGCTCTAAACTCTAAAGTGATCATCATGCAGTGATTCACTGTGCAAAAATTACAAATATAATATACGTTTTGTGACCAATACTGCAGATTCAATGCCAGCTTGATGCTTGAAACACTTCGTGGGAAAAGGATGATGTTTGTTGGAGACTCTCTCAACCGTGGCCAATATGTCTCTTTGGTATGCCTTCTCCATCAACTGATTCCTGAAGATGCCAAATCCATGGAAACCTTTGATTCACTCACTGTATTCACAGCCAAGGTAAAGCAACCATTTGATGTATACAGTTGGCAGTGTTTTCTATTTTTAGCTACAAGATTATGCCTCCCCTTTTCTCTCTGTTCATTTTATTGTATTTACTTAGGAATACAATGCCACGATTGAGTTCTACTGGGCACCTTTTCTTCTTGAATCAAACTCGGACAATGCTGTCATTCATAGGGTATCTGATAGGATAGTTAGAAAAGGTTCAATCAATAAGCATGGCCGGAATTGGAAAGGTGTTGACATTTTGGTATTCAACACCTATCTTTGGTGGATGACTGGCTTGAAGATGAAGATCTTGTATGTTCCTCCTTATTTTCTATTCAAACAGCTATTTGCTTACCCCCTCTCTCATTTCTTTTTCCAATGGCTTTTGAAAATAATGCCTCGATCTCCCCTCAAACTTTCAGACTTGGATCTTTTGATGATGAAGTTAAAGACATTGTGGAGCTCACTACAGAGGATGCTTATCGTATGGCTATGAAAAGTATGCTTAGATGGGTGAGGCTGAACATGGATCCAAAGAAAACTAGAGTCTTCTTCACAAGCATGTCACCTTCTCATGGAAAGTGAGTATATATAGTTCACTTAAAGAAATTTCTAAGAATCACATCCCTACACCAATTTAGTACTATACATCATAAATAAAACACCACACTCATACCAATTTTTGGGAATATAAAATAACGAATTAAATCATCTCTCTAACTGATCAGAATGGATTATGATTTTCATGTTAACATATTTCTCTCTATGACCTATTTCAAATATGACAAAGCTTTCGTGCCATGGAACCACGACAACTCATAAGATTTAACTCTATTATGTATAGGTTAGAGATAAGACCTAACGTATGTATGCTAAATTTACCTATCATAGAAATTAGTTAGACATAATACCCAATTAAATCTAGTACCAATGGATGCGAAAAGCCAAATTTATGATGATCACAAAACTTATTATATTAATTGAAATATTTTTTTTTATTAATTTAACTATTTAAAAATACAAAACTAATTAATTTATATTAGTCACGTATATAAAAAAATTTAACATCGCACACAGCACACGTATAACCATCATAATTTTCTTTGCTACGAAAATATACATTATGATTTATGATGGTATAAGGGTTCCTCTCTCTGCATCCCATGTATCAATGACAGACCCAATAATTCAAAAATATATGGCAGGAGCATAGACTGGGGAGGTGAACCAGGAGGAAACTGCTACAACGAAACAACTCTGATTGATGATCCTGCATACTGGGGCTCTGACTGTAGGAAGAGTGTAATGCAAGTGATTGGACAAGTGTTCAGCAAATCCAAAGTGCCCATTACATTTCTCAATATAACCCAGCTTTCCAATTACCGCAGAGATGCACACACTTCAATCTACAAGAAGCAATGGAACCCATTGACTCAAGAGCAATTAGCTAATCCTGTTAGCTACGCTGATTGTGTGCATTGGTGTTTGCCTGGCCTTCAAGACACTTGGAATGAGCTTCTTTTTGCCAAGTTATTTTATCCTTAAAAGAGACCCTCTTTTGTTCTCTTGGGACTTGGGTCATTCCATATATGGCACGTCAAATTGTAAATGGGAAGTCCTGGCATGCGGCCATTAATCTGTTTTTTTTTTTTTAAAGTGATAATTGGGATGGTAACCAAAGAATCAAAGAAAAGAAAGAGGATTTGTATACCATAATAGTTGCTATTCAAAAAGGAGGAGGACAAATATGAGAAAATTGAATTGATTTTTTTCCCCCTTTACTGTTGCTGAAATGCCAAAACTCAAAATTGTGCCAGATTTTTGTTCCCCAGCATGATGTGCATAGTTTTTGCTGCATTGAATTCCCTATATTGTTTTTAACTTTCTTGAAAGGATAACTTTCTCTCCGTTTGGTACGCAAATTATTTTTGCTTATCTGGAAAACCAACATCTGAAACTTAGGATAGCCATGTTTGGTACCACAAAAATAGGAATTTTTTCGGCCAACAAGTTGTCCCGTCTTTTGCTTTTTATGTGTGATTTCATGTACGACAACAAAAATAAGTTGTCCATCTCAAAGACGTCTTTCATCATTGTCTGGGGAAGTGAAATCTGAAGCGCGAAAAAGATTACGAAAATAACCTCGAGGGATTGTACAATTTGTGAAGTGATGGTACACAGTGGATTGAGCTGCTTGCTAGTTGAGTGATATACGTGTGAAAAATGGCGCGAATGAGTTGTGGGTCTGTCATTTCTCCCTCCATTTTTTGAGGTCGCAACTGAGGAGAAGAACCTTGTAGCTTGCATGTGACTGAGGAAATCGGTATTAATCTTGCCTTGTATGACATTCTATGTGGCTTCTCTTGAGATACGACTATCTATGTGGCTGCACAAATAGTTCATTCTGTTAGAGAATAATATAAATCATTAAAATAATCCTCACCCAACACTTTAAGGTCAAGTGTTCGATCCTCACCGCCTAAGTGGAATTAAAATAAAAACACAAAAGGTAAACCAAAACTTAGGCTTGTGCAATATCCACACTTCACGTGTTGGGTTGAAGAATAATATAAATCATTAAAAAAACCCTCACCCAACACCTTAACGTGTTGGGTTGAAGTGATTCTTTACACATTCATACTTGATTCTGACAGGGGTGTGCATAATTCTTTTTATTTTTATTTTCTTGATCCTCATTCATGACTTTAATATGCAATATAATAATTATAAATAAATTACATATAGTGCTTATGTCTGATCTTAATTTTTTTGCTAATTCGATTGAGCCTATAATTATTCACGTACTGTGGTTATAAATGCTCAAGTAGCTAGCTATACCGTATGATGTACGGACACGGGACACGACACAACACGCCGACACGTAAATTCTAAAAAATTTTATATTTGAACACGTTGGGACACGTTTTGATATTAAATAAAAATTTTAATATATAATATATAATTTATATTTAATACATATAAGAGTCCATAATAAGTCATATAACCAATCAAATATTTAAATTTCATAACATAAATATAAATATAAATAAATTTTCGTACTTTGTTAATTTTTCATGTCAAATTTCTTAACAGAAAAAAATTAATTTATAAATTATTTCTTTTATAATTAGATAACAAAATTAAAAAAATTTATTTAAAAAAAAAAACGTGTCCGAGCGTTGACTGCGTGTCCAAAAAAATTGACCGCGTGTCCGAAAAACATGTCGGAGAGTTGACCACGTGTCCTCAAATGTTGACCGCATGTCGAAACGTGTCCGTGTTGGACACGTGTCCGAGCGTGTCGGAACGTGTCCATGTCGGACACATGTCCGACACGCAAATTTTATTTTTTCTCACAGAGCGTGTCCGTACTTTGTAGGCTATACCTAATGTGATTGCAAAGTGTATATCTTCAAGAAGATTAACATTTTGAATTAAATTTTTTCTTCTCTTTTTTTCATTGAATTAATCATCTTCAAACATATGAATTAGCATCCGCAAATAAATAGTTTTATAATATATAAGGAAACAAAGAGTCAAAGACTCTTCTGAAATTTTTGAGAGAATAAACAAACGGCGAAAATCTACATTCAATTCCCTATATAAAGATAATCACTTTTTCCATTTTTAGTATTTTTTTTTTTAAAACTTCCTGAAGTATCTCTAATTCTCTATATTTCTGGGCAAGAATCTCAACGAATATAAAGTATCACAAATTAGGTTCTTATCAAAAGTAATGTTTATATAACTTCAACTTTTGTCTATTTTAAGTTATAACAAACTTTAAGAGATTAACTCAAAAGTAAAATTCGTCAAAAATCCTTCTCTGCACACAAGTGATATATAAATAGTCAATTTCCTTTAATTTAGTCTTTCATATAGTTGTTGTACTAGTGATTGGGCTGGTTTTGCTTCTCACAACATACAGTTTTTATAAGTGGGCCTTCTCAGCTAAAAGTAATTAAGAGAACTACAATGTATTTCAGGCCCAGATATGTATACAGCCATTTGTGTTAGCATTTTATCCAAGTAAAATCATGTTTGAGCATTGGGTGGGGATCTAATACTATTTCATTCTAATTTTAGTAGGATTTGAATTAGCTTATATATTTTAAATTTTAAATGATTTAAATTTAAAGTTTACTGAACATTTTATTTTAAAAAATGAATATTTTTAAGAATTTATAAGTTTTATCAAACATGCACTACTTTTAAGGAAAAAAATCGATTATTCTCTGAAATTCAAAGTTCATTTGTTTAAGTTTTTAAATAAAAGAGTTTTCCAATTACAAATCATATATAGAAAATTTAAAAAAACTATTTTAGTTTTTTTCTTAAAAACTAGAAAAAGTAATTTCTGATAAAAGGTTCTAACAAAAAGATATATCTAAAAAATGTTTTTTTAAAAGCTTAAACAGACGACCTGTGACCTAATTAACTTTTGCCAAACATACACCTTAAATTTTAATCATTTGGTAGATAGTCGTCTCTATCCCAAATGAATCAATTAATATATGAATTTCAACTAAATGGAGTATCTAGAATCATGAAATTGAGAGTCTTTCTCACCCAACCACACTAGTTGAATCAAATAAATTCACGTTGAAAGTGCAAATTGTAACCGATCGAACGGATGAGAAATCCATAAAATTAAAAATTAAAAAAAAATAAGCGGGAATCAAATCAAAGTTCAATATAATTATGTGTTTAGCTCCGTCTAATAATCACGCATTATACATACAAAATTTGTCGACATGTATAATTTTTTATGTTTATTATCTTAATTGGTCAAACAATATATTTTCTCCAAAGTGCATTAATATTGGCACGTACGATACCAGGTCCGCCACACCACTAATTGTATTAAAGATGGAAGTAGACATCCAGAATAACAACAGATGGAAAAGTAATGGAAAATGGTGACGAAATCCTTATATACTACGTGAACCTTATAATCGGTCACTGAAAAGCCAAACAAGTTGGTACCATGTCAATTCGTAAACGTTTTCGTACAAAACTATTCATACCACAAGGTAAGATACTATGTCTATTTTTTTTTTTATTTACTTACTTATTTTTATTATCATTGGATTAGAATTTTAAGAAAAAAAAATTAATTGAGATATTGATCCAATAATATTGAAAATGAGTAAGTAAGGCAACCATGATAAAAAAGTAGGTATAATATTGTATCCCTATATACTATATATTACTACTCCAGATGAAAATATAGGAGCAATTAATTAGTAAGTAAAATTATTAAAGGTTCACATACCAGTCTAGTGCATTGATCTAACTCTGTTTTCCGCGTCCAAATCAAATATTCATAAGAGTCCATGCCATGCGAATCTCTATTCTTTTTTTTTTGTTTTCTTTTAAAAAAAAAAAAACTAAAATCCTTGTTTTTATCCATTTTACAATTTTGGGTTTGGAAGTGTGGCACGGCGTATAACAGGATAGATACGAACTTACATAAGGTGAATATCGAAGATTCCCTTCCTTGTTATTGATTTGTTCAGTTGAGGAAATTCTCCGTTTTCTTTTGCCCCATGAAACGGAGTGGGAGATATATGGTTTCTGTAGCGTATCACCCTCATCCTCTTGTATGCGGATGTGAATAATTTTTAAATCTTTGAACTTGCGGGAGCACCTATAGGGTGAAAGTGGACTGAGCTGGGCCAAGTTTTGCTCCGAAAAGTTTAAGCCTACGCAAAAATTTTTAATTTGGCCTAGCTCAAGCCTTGCATGAGTCTAACTGTTAGTCTGACTTGGCCCGTTTATAAAAAAACAATTGGCCTGGCCTAGTCCATCAGCCTGTTAATTTTTAACTTCCAAGCAAAATCATGAATCAACTTTACAAAATACTCAAATTTTGTTGCTAAATCAAAAATCATAATTTCAACGTCCAAACAGATTCATGAATCACAACAAAACTCATACAATCTGCATTTAAGTCACTTCAAAAGTAAAATGCTCAAACTAAATAACATATATTTCATCAGATTCAACAAACAAATCCATACTATGTAAATTAAAATAACTACATGAATCCAACAAACGCATCATGATGCTTATGCTGAGTTGGTTCTGTTGGATATATGCTCTTTTGGTCACTAAAGTCCTATTGGGCTTCAGTGACACATGAGCCCATGAGGCTTAGGGTTGAGTTATGTCTAAGACCTAAGCGTATATATTCATAGTTTTCTCCTCTTGTGCCTCCAAGGTGAATAGATCATCAGAAACAAACCCCAAGAGGCAGACGTTCATCATCTGAACGGTTGCCCACACAACCATCTCATCCTCCTCGAGAGATAGTCTGGAAGATCTTCCACAGTCCAGCTTCAAGGAGGTTGTTCGTGCTGCGGCGCTGAGGTGAGCTGTTCGTGAAGAGGAATCCTACAAGGGAAGATTCTACACGAGACCTGCGCACCGAGAGGTAATTGTGAAACAAGGATGATTCGGTAAGCATACCAATGTACTAGGTCCTAAACCGCTTCCGCATAAATCTAAGATTTCCTTCAATTGGTATCAGAGCCTTGGCTGTA